ATGCAAAGCCGTGTTTCATTGGACAGGCAATGGAGGGACGAAACGCGGTATAGATTGAAACTATACATAGTTCCCCATATCACCAACTTAATAATGAAACAATGCTGGGCACTAGACCTTCACCGAACATACAACATACGTTCCATTCACATTTATCGTGCCCCGTCACGTGTTGCACACATGAGCAGTTTACGGCATTATTATAACCCTACACTCCGGGTTGAGTTTATCGTTAATAATTATCTAGCGCCATAGAAGTTATGGTTCCGTGCCGAATTTACTCGCCGAAATGCGGCCCATCAAAACTGCGGAAATTTACACTTTCCCCATATAATTTCTACCGAACGTGATGTCTGTTTTACGGCCAATTTGAAGATGCACTCGTCATTAAACGGCAATTGATGCTCGTTTCAGCTTACGGCTATCCATTAAATTAAGCGGCTACGTGAGAAACTACTAATAGGAGAATAAAGCTGAACTTCATTGGAAATTCATCACGACTAGATTTTAATGAAAACACTGAAATATGCTGATAATATTTAACTCTATTATCATACAGGTTAAATTGTATTAATGAAACAACAAACAATCAATACGTTCGTTCAGTTTGTACATTACCATTATAACGATCGCCGCGAGAAATTTGAATAATATTTCGGTAATTTCTCGTATAATCGACATTAAATTCATACCATAGTCCAGATTAAAATGTTAAAATATTCCGAATATAAATGAGGGTCTTTCCTCTAAAGCCCAAGATAAAAGTTTTTGATACTTTATGGGCTTTAATGTTAATATTGGTATATATTTTATTTAAAATTAAATTATTAAGATTATGTGTAGAAAGATTAGAAAGTATTATCTATACTTATCAACAGTGTCAAATGAAACTTATAATACTATAAATATATACTATATTTAACTTGAGGCAACCTATATACATGTAATATATTCGGAAAAGTTTTCTGTGCGAATTTCCTCGACCGGTCGAAACTTTTCTAATAATCCCGCTAGATGAAAATAGCCCGCGTCGGGCATAAATATGAACAGCGGCTAGGGAATAACAGAAACGCCTGAGGGAATCCCGTTTCGTGCAAACTCTGGAGTCAGTCTTGCCGTGTTCTTCTTAAACACGGGACGTCGCCGTCCTAACTTCTGAGCCGGATCCGACTCAGAAACCCGGAGATTATATTTAAAGCCTAGTTTAGTGCCACTTAACGTCATCCATAAGCTAAACCGATAGCACAGATATGAATCGCTAAGAAGCCGGCTATGAAGATAAAACTCGCCCAGGAAGAATTCCTGTCCCATAGATGCTAGAAAGCCCAGATAATAGTTTTGCTTTTATTATGTAACTCCACTAAGTGAGAAAATATTAGATAAAATATTAGTTCAGTTAAGGAAGAATAATTAAGAAAATTCTTTGAATAACATTTTTAAGTAAATTAATAAATGTGGTTTTATTAGAGTATGTTTTAGTCTCGAGAGTATAAAATTTTCACGGCGACATCACAACCATTTGTTTGCTACTTTCCTAAATTACAGCTGCCGAAGAATATGGAAGTAGCTCGAGATAAAACTCTGCGACCCCTAAGCCGATGGCCAGGGGTTGGAGGTGAATGGGGTTCGAGTTGCCTGCGCCTGTGAAGCCCATTAAAGCATTTTCTGGATTCATCGAACAATGAACGGTGTCCCCGATTTTCATCTCCATTTTCTTACACATTGTTTTCATTTCCTCTCATGATCTTATAGTCTTACATTCTTACTACTACAACTTGTACATTTTACTAATAACACAAAGAGGTTTTTGGTTAATGTCTATAAGTACACGTAGCGAGGCGTATTGTGTCTTAAACATAATACCCTTTTAGGAAATTGTTTTTTTTTCTAATTTCGATCCTTTATAACACGCTTCCGCGTCTTTGTCCTCGACGATATTATCAGTGCAAAAACGAATTTACTTAAGAATGCGGCGCATTTAGATTTGCCTTTGCTGAAAACGCTAGATAGCCCTATTAAATTATTGGAGAACCCCTCTTCCTTCTTTAAGTGAAGACGTTCCGCTTAACTGCTTCCCTGTACTTTAGAAACAACGGCTTCTGTGTGTATCAAAGAGGAAAGATTAAATTAAATGAGAATTTGTACAGCATAATAATGTCCTACTTAACAATGAAAATACTTTACGAAAGTTGTACTATGTTTTTTTTTTCTTGAAAAATAATAATCTTACACAAAAGTGAGATGGAATACTTGTCTGAATTGTAAATGTCTGTCATTTACAATTCGTGAGAAGTAATAAAGTAATAACAGAGAACTTTTAGCTTAAATTGCTGTTTATATCGTAATAGAATCCCGGATGATATTGATAATGTTATTTTAAGAAAAAACAGACTTTCATCATAATTTTTTCATCTCTACACTTCGCCTGGGAGAGGATGATAGAAGACGTCAGATTGTCACACGGCAGGTGTTCACTGCACTAGAGCCGGTTGAAGATATGCGGTAAAAGCATCGTTACTAAATAATGATCCCTTAACCTGTATTATTAACGTTTCCTTAATGTACCGCCTGCAATCTCCTTTCAGGAAAGATGGCACATTTATTCTTACGGACGGCAAGTAAACTTTAGGTATAGAAAAGTTATGGCTAAAGCTTCGAAGAAAATCGATTTTTAGGATATTGCTTCGAAAGAAATTACACATAAACTTTACATACGCTCTTTTCGTTTATGGGGTATAATATAATTAAGTGTATTAGATTTTTATTTTTGTTATGGGCAAATTTAAAATTGATGAATTGTTTTTTGTAGGACTAAATAAATAATCGTTTGATAAAAATTCATTACAAAATCATCACTAGGTCTACTTTAAATAAATAGGTTATATTTCACGACGTGCACCTTCATAAAATTGTCGCCATAAATCTTAGTTCTTTACTAAATCGTGAGCGAAATCTCCTGCCGTTAGGCCAAACTGAGCGAGGAGCTTCGAACTGCATTTGCATACTGGTTGCCGAGAGGTGGATAGCTTTCATCCGGTAAAATATAAGTGGTTAATTAAAAACTTAGCTGCCAACTCAAACTTTTCCTTTAAGAGTGAGTTAGAACGAGTTGGAGTGGGGAATAGCGCCACAGTAATTTAATTCCTTGCAAAGTGCTTTGAAAATCAATATCAGTAACAAGTAATGTGTTTATGAAACATAAAAGCATTCGCAATATTTTATAGCGACATGAGGATATTTTATTTTAAAATAGATTTTAAATAGAATGTTACAAGTGATAATGAGGGTCGGTAAAGTTGCGAAACTACGACGTTACGATTAGCTCTTCAAATACAAATACGAAATATCAATGAGAACTGGAAACTTAAAGATGCTGATTAAATTTCCAATTACGAAGTTTTTCCCGGCAAGCATCGGGAAAAGCAGAGGAGCGCGGAATTAAAACTAACTACGTTCGAATGTGCTTAATTTGAAAAAGCGGCCGCAAAGAGGTCGCGTAATGAAAAAAGTTTAATACCTTCGCGGGGCTCCGGGGCCGTACACCCACTTTCGCAGACTATCAGTAAAACGGGCGCAATATTCTTATGAATTTATATGCAAACTTGCCCGAGCGAAGGTCCGCCAGGATAGACTTCTCCGTTGGGACGCAAAATAATTAACCGCTTTATATTAAAATCACTTTTTAATGCGCCGCTATAAACAAAAGATTGTCTGGAATAAAGTGAATTTAAAAGAGAATTATTTACTTGGATGAAATTTTCACAGCATTTTATCATATACTTGCTTTTTGAATACTTTCGGTTTAAAGGTTTTTTTTTGCAAATTTTTGAGTTTTATCACAATAAATAATCGTACATTTAGACGGACTAGATGAAATTGTTACCTGTAGCACAGCTTACAGAGCGTAATAATTAAGGAAATCCATAGGGGTTTAACCACAATACGCTCTAATAAGCAGAAGTATCTCTAATTATACTCCATCATGCGGTCAATTAATTAGACAATCTATTTGTAGGTATCGTATTCCTAGATGAAAAGTTTATATAATAATCAAATCATTTCCAGGATTCCAACTCCACTGTAAACCATGTATCCTAAACTCTCCTATACTATTTTATCCTGGTGATCCTAAGTAGAAACCAGACACAATAGATGCCAAAAACACTCAAATGATGTCATGGATAGAAAAAGACCCAGGTGCTTGTTTCACTTTTGCTGCCACGATCCAAAGTCTTTTACGATCCTTCTACTTTCAACCATAGATGGCCATCGACATTACATTCTGTCGGCTGTATAATTCACTATTTCATTTTTCTCATCACTATTCATCGCTACTTATCACTCTTTCATGTAATACTACTGTATGTTACTCAAAGGTCAGTAACGTTCAGTTTTTGAGGTCATGCGTTAAACATACAATACTGAATACAATGTTGAGTATAACCCATTAGATATACACTTGTATGTAGTTTTCTGACACTTCAATTTTCATAAGAACTATGATATATAATAATCGTGAAGCTTTCAACAATAAAAAATTATAAAGATATATTTGAGTAAAGTTTGTAGCAATTCCAACTAGAACGTTTCATAACATAGATAGAGTGTATTTTAACTTGAAATGAGTTAGGGAATCCATCTACTTTAGTTACGGGAAATATTTAACATTTTCCAACTATGATTACTGTTTGAATTCTGTTAAATAATATTAGTTCGAGAACTGGGGACAGCCACTGGTTGCATCGGATGTTGATTTAACAATAACACAAACAATTCTTGACGGTATTATGCACAGTAACTAGCCCACGGGACCCATGCACCGTAGTTATACACTATCGTATTACGTTTCGTATTATAATATAGTGAGTAATTGATGTGGAAAGCAACGAGATAATTACTCATAGATGCTAGAGGCGTTCTATTAATTCAAATGTAGTTACATTCACCGATGTCGATTTGAAGATATATCCTCGAATTAATAAGATTTATTTTTGTTGCAGAAATTGGCATCGCTATTTAAAGTGGCGTCGTCATCATAATTGGTACGTATATTCTTAATCAATAAATTAAAATTAAACTAAGATTAGAACTAAAACTAGAAACTTTCGGGTTTTGCCGTGCGTCTTTTAATAAAAGGTTTGACGTTTCGGATGCCATGTTGCAACCTTCTTCAGAAACTGGTTCGAAGTGACGAGATCAAAAAATCGGTAACTATATATAAGTCGGAAAAACTAATTAATAATCAGTTAACGCTAATTACAAACTAATTAATAACTAATTGCGTCGCGTCCGGTGTGAGGCGGGAAGAGGTCTTCGTGTTCACCACCATCTTCCATGTTCTGCTAAGCTCCCAGCCATCCTCTCTGTTGACGTTATTTTTATGTCGGTGAATCTCTATGGCTTCTCTTGTCAGTCTTTGGTAGTATCTGTTGTCCCTAGCCAGCACCTTTGTTTGTTCGAAGTCTATTCGGTGCCCCTCTGCATGGCAATGTTCCGCAACCGCCGACTGCTGGATCTTCTTCAGCCTTACATCCCTCTCATGCTCCTTGATGCGGCACTCGACGTTGCGTCCAGTTTGGCCAACATAAACCTTCCCACAACTACACGATAGTCGATAGACTCCCGCTCCTTTTAATGGAGTTAGTTTGTCCTTGGCTATCGGGAGTGTGTTCCGAATTTTGCTGACCGTGCCGTACCGCACTACGATGTCGTTCTTCTTGAGGTGCCTAGCAATTCGTTCCGTTACACCTGAAACATAGGGAAGACAGATAAATCCAAGTGGTTTTGTACTTACCGTGTCCTCTTTCTGCTTTCGCTGCTTGATGGCCTGGTTGATGTCCCTCAAAGTGTATCCATTCTTCTGCAGCACGCCTCGTAGAAAGTGTTGCTCCTTCTTCAAGTTCTCTCCTTCACATAGTCTCGCTGCTCGCTGAAATAATGTACGGATCACGGACCTCTTCTGTTGGGGATGATGATGTGAACATGCCTGTAAATACCTGTTGGTATGGGTCTTCTTTCGGTATACACCAAGTTCTATATCTCCATTTGTCGTCCTGGTGACCAACACATCTAGGAAAGGTAGTTTTTTGGCAGTTTCTGTTTCCATGGTGAACTTAATCATAGGATGTTGAGAGTTCAAGTGATCCAAGAACTCTTGGAGCCGTTTTTGACCATGTTGCCATATCACAAACGTGTCATCCACATATCGGAGCCATAGTTTTGGTTTCCACTGGCTCTTCTTCAAAGCGTCCTCTTCGAATAATTCCATGTAGAAATTAGCTATAACTGGCGATAGTGGAGATCCCATGGCTGCCCCTTCGAACTGCTCGTAAAATTCTCCTTTCCAGCTGAAATACGTCGACGATAAGCAATACTCCACCAGATCTGGCACGTATCCTAGTAAACCCTCCGGAATGAGTTTTCGGCGAAGACCCTCTACAGCATCCTTAACTGGTACCCTAGTAAAAAGGGATTCCACATCGAAACTTACCAACATATCCCCAGCATCCAGCTTTACACCTTTTACCGATTCCACAAAATGTGTAGAATCCCTGACATACGATTCCGTGTTACCTGTGAAGGGGGACAGAATCTTTGCAAGATGTTTAGCCAGCTGGTATGTTGGGGAGTTGATTCCGCTGACGATAGGGCGGAGGGGGACGTCTGGTTTGTGAATCTTCGGTAGTCCGTAGATTCTTGGTTGTACCGGCGCCTGCACAAACAAACATTTCTGCTGTTCTGCTGGAATTCCTGTAGATTTTATCAGTTCCTTCATTTTTCTAACGATTTTGTCTGTGGGGTCCCTCTTGATCTTCCTGTAGGTGGCTGGGTCCAGTAAGTTCATCATTTTGTCGTCGCAATTAGTTATTAATTAGTTTGTAATTAGCGTTAACTGATTATTAATTAGTTTTTCCGACTTATATATAGTTACCGATTTTTTGATCTCGTCACTTCGAACCAGTTTCTGAAGAAGGTTGCAACATGGCATCCGAAACGTCAAACCTTTTATTAAAAGACGCACGGCAAAACCCGAAAGTTTCTAGTTTTAGTTCTAATCTTAGTTTAATTCACACCGGCCGTGAAAGCCTTCGTACTTATAATAAATTAAAAGATTATTATTCACCTTGTGTTTCTATTTATAATAATGCGCAAATGGAAGCAACAATACTCTTTCGTTTACATTTTATATTTTGTTAGTTGACCCTTTTCATTTTCCTTCAGGTTAAAGAACGAGTAATCTTGAATTTATGGAATGTGTCCCTTTTGGATCCTAAGCCGTCCCTTGCTAGTTATCGGGAGTAAAAGCACTTCGCTACAGAGATTATCGGCAACAACTCGGTTTCAGAAAACAGTAAACCGAAAATGAAATTATTTTTTATGAGGCGAGGGGTAAATCGGAAAATTTTCGCCCTACCCGCGTCCGGTTATAATCATAAAAAAAGGTCTCTGAAACCTTCAAATATTTTTATCGCTTGCGATCGGTTGTCCCACAGATGGTCTCCAAATGAATATTCGATATCTTTCTTTTTATTATAAAAAATATAAGTATATCAAATATATGAATATAAGTGTGAAAAAGAAATAAACTGAATCATATTAATTTTAATTCACTTTTCATGTTTCATCTACCAACACGTTTAGTAAATAGCAATTTAGTGAATATGACTTTCATAAACGAACTTTAAGAAATATGTTAACTTTGAAGCAACTAAGATAAACATCACAGTTTCTGAATTGCGTCCGTCGAAAGCATTAGCGAAATTGGTTGGGAACTGGAATCGTAGCATATGTCGGTAAACCTATTTAGTAAATTAGTTGAATTTAAATTAATATAAACTAAAATATTATTTTATTATAAATACTTAAAATCTTTTTATAGTCGTTAGCAGAAAACAGTCAAAAAAATAAAATGAAGAGGTTATAATCCATATTTGAATACGATACTCAATATGCAGCATCACAACATACAGATAAGGTATTCGATTTGCTGTACCAACTGGTAATAAACCGGTAAAATCGCAAAAACTCGATCGTTATCGACGGTTGTTATTTCGGATCCCTATTGACACCCATTACAACAGGATCGAACTCGTTTTCAAACTACCGAAATCGTTCGCGCCTGCGGAAAGTCCTGACAAAGTGGGGATTTAGGATGGTTTCTAAACACTTCTCCGACATCGAAAAGAACGAGAGCTGCGACGAAAAGAACTGAGGAGATGCGAACACCGTAAAACGTGAGTGTCGCATTTGCAATTTACGGATTTCAAGTAGATACGGATCTGAATGAAGTTAAGCAGTCATCATTTTGTCCGTAGACGGTTGCGAAGGATAAGGGAAAATCGACGTGCCGGTCTTTCATTGTGCGAATTTATCTCCCTTGCAACTGACACATTTCTCAAACACAACAGGTTCGTTCCCGTTCGGCGATAAAATCAATTTGCCGTGAACAATTTTTTGATGGACAACGTTATAACGATGACTGAGGACCTCTTACAAACATCATCGTAGTCGCTTATAACGCATTATACAATTTTTAAATACATATAAAACGAAATATAATATATTATTTTGGAATTATATAATTAGTGACAACAAGTTTCTAAATTATATCCCTTGGATATTCACGTAACCTTATTCCAATACCTTACCGGTTCAATAAACTGGTATCACCCTCTTCAACTAACCGAAATTATGCAAATAATTGAAATTTAATCCGCCGTATCTATTTCCCGGTACAATCCTTGTCGTCGTCGAAATGTATTTTGTATCTGTTCGCCTTCTGAGGGTTCCGTTCTCTTTCTACAACGTAATTTTAAACTATACGAACTAAACGGTTTCGTTCACATAGAATTATGATCGAGATTAGAATTCTCTACTTTGGATATTCCGATATAATAATTTTGCTATGGGTTATTGGGTATTTGTAATTGATTACTGTTATGCACAGCAGCGATTACGATTTAATTGGATACGTTTTCTTGTTCTCTTTCTTTGCCAAACCATAAACCTTGATTATACTGCAGCGATTTCATGCAGATCGGTAGCTATTGATTGAATATTGATGCAACCGTAAACTATTTACTTTGTTAGTTCAAATTAAAATATATATTCTGGTATGTGGTAAGAATTGCCAAATTATTGAAATGTACTTTTTTAACACTTTGTGCTATGCGTACAATGTATTTTTGAATTGTTGAGGAAATTACTTATCAGTGTCAATTACCGATAGGACACCTCTAAAGATAAGATTCGAACAACCAGAGGCATTGATTAAATGTTAATTTTAGATTTGATCTAAGAATGGGATGTTAGTTTAGATAGGCAGTTGCTTTTGGGTGAATTTATATCAATAGTAGCGGTATGTGTACTGTAAAGAATAGCATAAGCAGGGTAGTAATGGAGGAAAGAAGTTGGAGATCGGACCGTGTCGTAACAACACTAGCAAAACCACAGTAACCAATTAGTAGAGATCAAGACGAGAACACTTGATATACACAAACAACGACTTAAGTCCTTTTGAGGACTGCCTAAAAAAGGTAAGTACAGGGTGTCTCAAATTCGTTGTTCGCATAGGTTATCTCCGAAACTCTCATTAAAGTAGTTTCAAAGTACGAAACGTCAAAGTATAATAAAACTTTTCAATGAATTTCGAAAATTTTGAATAATTAACCTTGATTGACAGCCGTAAACAAAACTAACCTTACCCAATATTTTTTTCCGGTATGATTGACAGATGAAAACAAAACTGACCTATCCTAACATTCCTTCACGCTTTAATTGGGATTTCTTCACGCTATAATTGAGGTACAAAAGAAAACCGACATTCCTTCACGCTATAATTGGAGTTTCTTCACGCTATAATTAGGGTTCAAAAGAAAACCGACATTCCTTCACGCTATAATTAGGGTTCAAAAGAAAACCGACATTCCTTCACGCTGTAATTGGGGGTTCAATAGAAAACTGACCTATCCCAACATTTCTCAATATTTTTGTCAGAGTTGATTGACATTTATAAACAAAACTTACCTAACTCAACTTTTCT